GAGATACAGACAGATGCTGTATCATTCTTAAAAGGTCTATCCAACAAGAAGATATAACAATCTAAATATCTATGCCTCCAACATGGGAGCAGCCAACTACATAAGACAAAGGTAAACCGAAAAAAAAAAAAAGAATCATATTGATAATAATACTTTAATAGTAGGAGACTTCAACACTCCACTCACAGCAATGGACAGATCATCTAAGCAGAAGATCAACAAAGAAACAAGAGCTTTGAATGACACATTGGACCAGATGGACTTCAGAGATATATACAGAACATTCTACCCTAATACAACAGAACGCTCATTCTTCTCGAGCGCACATGAAACTTTCTCCAGAATAGATCACATACTGGGTCACAAAGCAGGTCTCAACAGATACCAAAAGACCGAGATTATTCCCTGCATATTTTCAGATGACAATGCTTTGAAACCGGAACTCAATCACAAGAAAAAATTTGGAAGGAATCCAAACACTTGGAAGCTAAAGACCATCCTGCATAAGAATGTTTGGGTCAACCAGGAAATTAAAGAAGAACTTAAACAATTCACGGAAACCAATGAGAATGAAAAAACATTTGGTACAAAACCTATGGGATACTGCAAAGGTGGTCCTAAGGGGGAAATACATAGCCATCCAAGCCTCACTCAAAAAGTATAAAAATCCTGAATGCACAAGCTAACCATACACCTAAAGGAACTGGAGAAAGAACAGCAAATAAAACCTAAACCAAGCAGGAGAAGAGAAATAATAAAGATTAGAACAGAGATCAATGAAATAGAAACCAGAAAAACAGTTGAGCAAATCAATGAAACTAGAAGCTGGTTTTTGGAAAGAATTAATAGGATCGATAAACCATTGGTCAGAATTATCCAAAGGAAAAGAGAAAGGACCCAAATTAATAAAATCATGAAAGAATGGGGAGAGATCACGACTAACACCAAGGAAATAGAAACAACTAGAAATTATTATCAGCAACTATATGCCAATAAATTAAGCAACCTGGAAGAAATGGATGAGCCTTCCTGGAAACCTATAAACTACCAAGACTGAAACAGGAAGAAATTTACCATCTGAATAGACTAATAGCCAGTAATGAAATTGAAGCAGTGATCAAAAACCTCCCAAAAAACAAGTGTCCAGGGCCAGATGCCTTCCCAAGGGAATTCTACCAAACATTTAAAGAAGAAATAATACCTATTCTCCAAAGCTGTTTCAAAAAAATAGAAACAGAAGGAAAACTTCCAAACTCGTTCTATGAGGCCAGCATTACCCTGATCCAAAACCAGGCAAAGACCCCATCAAAAAGGAGAATTACAGACCAATATCCCTGATGAATATGGATGCCAAAATTCTCAACAAGATCCTAGCCAATAGGACCCAACAGTACATTAAAAGGCTTATGCATCATGACCAGGTGGGATTTATTCCTGGGATGTAAGGGTGGTATGACATTCACAAATCAATCAATGTGACAGAACACATTAATAAAAAAAAGGACAAGAACCACATGATCCTCTCAATTGATACATAAAAAAGCATTTGACAAAGTACAGCATCCTTTCCTGATTAAAAATTTTCAGAGTATATGAATAGAGGGAACATTCCTCAATTTCATAACAGCCATCTCTGAAAAGCCCACAATGAACATCATTCTCAATGGGGAAAAGCTAAGAGCTTTTCCTTTAAGATCAGGAACACAACAAGGATGCCCACTCTTGCCATTATTGTTCAACATAGTACTGGAAGTCCTAGCAACAGCAATAGGAAAACAAAAAGAAATAAAAGGTATTCAAACTGGCAAAGAAGAAGTCAAACTCTCTTTCTTTCGCAGATGACATGATACTTTATGTGGAAAACCCAAAGACTCCACCCCCAAATTACTAGAACTCATACAGCAATTCAGGAATGTGGCAGGATACAAAATCAATGCACAGAAATCAGGTGCATTTTCATACACTAACAATGTAACTGTAGAAAGAGAAATTAGGGAATCGATTCCATCTACAATACCACCAAAAATCATAAGATACCTAGGAATAAACCTAACCAAAGAGATAAAGGATCTATACTCTAGAAACTACAGAACACTTATGAAAGAAATTGAAGAAGACACAAAAAGATGGAAAAACATTCAATGCTCATGGATCAGAAGAATAAACATTATTAAAATGTCTATGCTGCCCACAGCAATCTGTACTTTCAACACCATCCCTATTAAAACTCAATTGGCATTTTTCAAAGTGCTAGAACAAACAATCCTAAAATTTGTATGGAACCAGAAGACGCTGAATCTACAAGGAAAGACTGAAAAAGAAAAACAAAGCTGGGGGCATCACGTTGCCTGACTTCAAACTATATTACAAAGCTGTGATCATCAAGACAGCATGGTATTGGCACAAAAACAAACACATAGATCAATGGAATAGAATAGAGTCTCAAGAAATGGACCCTCAACTCTATGGTCAACTAATCTTCGACAAAACAGGAAGGCCTATCTAATGGAAAAAAAAGACAGTCTCTTCAATAAATGGTGCTGGGAAAATTGGACAGCCACATGCAGGAGAATGAAACTGGACCATTCTCTTACACCATACACAAAGATAAACTCAAAATGGATGAAAGACTTCAATGTGAGAGAGGAATCCATCAAAATCCTAGAGGAGAACATAAGCAGTAACCTCTTTGACATCAGCCACAGCAACTTCTTTCAAGACACATCTCCAAAGGCAAGGGAAACAAACGCAAAAACGAACTTTTGGGACTTCAAGATAAAAAGCTTCTGCACAGCAAAGGAAACAGTCAACAAAACAAAGAGGCAACACACAGAATGGGAGTGGATATTTGCAAATGACACTACAGATAAAGGGCTGATATCCAAGATTTATAAAGAACTTCTCAAACTCAACACCCAAAAAACAAATAATGCAGTCAAGAAATGGGCAGAAGACATGAGCAGACACTTCTCCAAAGAAGACATACAAATGGCCAACAGACACATGAAGAAATGCTCCACATCACTAGCCATTAGGGACATACAAATCAAAACCACATTGAGATACCATCTTACACCAGTTAGAATGGCAAAAATTAAGAAGACAGGGAACAACAAGTGTTGGTGAGGATGTGGAGAAAGGGGAACCCTCTTACACTGTTGGTGGGAATGCAAGTTGGTATAGCCACTCTGGAAAACAGTATGGAAGTTAAAAATAGAGCTACCCTAGGTCCCAGCAATTGCACTATTAGGTATTAACCCGAAAGATACAGATATAGTGACAAGAAGGGGCACTTGCACCCCAATGTTCATAGCAGCAATGTCCACAATAGCCAAACTGTGGAAGGAGATAGGGGGATCCTTCAATAGATGAATGGATAAAGAAGATGTGGTTCATATATACAATGCAATATTACTCAGCCATCAGAAAGGATGAATACCTACCATTTGCATCAACATGGATGGATCTGGAGGGGATTATACTAAGTGAAATAAGTCAAGCAGAGAAAGACAATTATCATATGGTTTCACTCATATACAGAACATAAGGAATAGCATGGAGGACATTAAGAGAAGGAAGGGAAAACTGAAGCAAGGGGAGGGTGGGAATCGGAGGGAAAGATGAACCATGAGAGACTATGGACTCCAGGAAACAATCTGAGGGTTTCAGCGGGGAGGAGGGTGGAGGAATGGAGTAGCCCAGTGATGGGTATTAAGGAGGGCATATGTTGTAATGGGCACTAGGTATCATACACAAATAATGAATCATGGAACACTACATCAAAAAACTAATGATGTATTGTATGGGGACTAACATAATTTTTAAAATAAATTTTTAAAAAAGATAAAATTATTTCTAAGTAATCATTTTGATGATGTTATAGATAGGATTGTTTTGATTTCCTTCTTTTTCAGATAGATCGCTGTTGGCGTAAAGAATTGAACTGATTTTATATGTTGAGTTTTGTATTCTGCAACTTTACTGAGGCCATTTATTACTTCTAACAGTTTTTTAATGGAGTATTTAGGTTTTTTTACATATAGAATCATGTCATCTGTAAACAGAGATAATTTAACTTATTCCTTTTCTACTGGATGCCATTTTTAAAGAAACATCAGGTCTGGTTGCTCTTCTAGTACCTCCAGTGTGAGAGTGAGCATCTTTGCCTTGAACTGGAAAAGTACAAGAGACAATAATTTAAAATTTTCCCATTGATAATGATGTTAGATGTGGAATTTTCATAAATAGCCTTTATTATGTTGAGGAAATTTCCTCTATATCTATTTTGTTCAGAGTTTTTATCATTAATGGATGTTGAACTTTGTCAACTACTTTTTCTGCATCTATCAAGATGCCCATGTGGTTTTTATCTTTCATTCTGTTATTGTGGTGTATCACATTGTTTTGTTAAACCAACAGGTTGGTAATTTTTGACTGGATGCAAGGCAATGAATTGTACCTGTTAGGTACTGGGTTGTTGTTTTTTTTTTTTTTTTGCCTTATTGAGCATTAATCTGGGATGCAGTTATTTAGAAACAAATTGACTCAGTTCTCACTTTTAAGGTTTGTTAGGCAGCACTGGAACAGTGCTTAATGTAGGGCCAATTATTCCCCTCTACTGGGGAAATACTCTTCTCTGTACTCTACCCAATGCCCCGTGAATAACTGGATTTTTTAGTTTTATTACTGGGAACAGATATTTTTCCCAGCCCTGTGTGAGTACGGGACTCCTCGAATCCTTTCAAGTACTTCTGTCCCTAACCTCAAGTATTTTCCTACTATATATGTACTGACTAACACTCAGCTGAATACTTGAACTGAAGATCTCTGGAATTCTCTCTGTGCAGCTATTTTGTCTAATATTCTGTTCACTGACCATCTAGACGCAGTTTTATCTTTTCAACCCAGGGAGTCTACTAAGTTCAGCCTCGGTTCCCCCACCCTGGGCCACATCCTATAAACTCTTTCAAAGCAATAACCTGAGGCAATCACTGGCTCACCTCTTCTGTTTCCCATCTCTCAGGGATCATGATCCTTTGTTTCCTGATGTCCAGTGTCTTGAAAACCTGTGTATTATAACCATTCATGTATTATATCCATTTTATTTCTTTTGCTGTTTAAGGTAGGAGGTAAATTCAATCCCTGCTACTCCATCTTGGCCAGAAATAGAAGTCTCAAGATACTTTTCAAACATTAATTGGTCTCCAAGTTTCCCAAATATTTGCCTATCCTTACAGGAAAAAATTCTCCTCCTCTATATATACCAGTCCACTTCAAATTACTTCTGGAGAAACTAACCCCTTACAGTATGTGTAACACATTATAGCTAACAACATAATTTCACATATTGAGATAACATGGTTTTCTCTGGGGAAAAAAGAAGAACGATGACTAGTGTCATGTTGCTAATAAGAAATCCATGTTGATGTCAAAGCCCATACAAAAGTTTTCTTGGGTCAACCTTTTGGTTAAATCCAAATCCCCACATGTAAAACAACAATCTCATCCAGGGCTTTAAATTGAGCATTTTATTTTGAATTTACTTACTGTGGTGGGCACCAGTACTGCTTGTCTCTACCAGGTTTATATCATACTGGACAGAATTGGCCCTCTGAAGGTGGCCCTTCCTGACAGTAAAAAGGAAAGAAACACACAAATAAAAAGTAGGTAAGTAGAAAAGTAGAAAGAAGTTTAAACTTGAATATTGGGAGGTTCATATTCTTCTCCAGAACTACCTGAAATTGACAAGGCTGCCTTAAAACTATGCCCCATTATTTAACAAATCCACCAAAGAAGGTAGGTATTTACAGGGACTTCAGATGCAGTTCTTCTCCTTTAAAATAAGAGTGCTTTTGTTACTAATGTAATGTTTTTGTAATGTTTAAATGTTTAGTGTAATGTTTTTGCCCTTTTTATTCTTATTTTTTTAAATGTTCTTTTTCTAAGATTTTATTCATTCGACAGACAGAGCACGAGCAGCATGAGAAGCAGGCAGAGGGAGAAGGAGAAACAGATTCCCCACTGAGCAAGGAGCCTGATCCCAGTACCACAGGATCATGACCTGAGTGGAAGGCAGACACTCAACTGACTGAGCCACCCAGGCGCCCCTGCCCTTTTTAAAGAGGTTTTTCATTATTAGTTGGGACCCTTGTGAGGTGGGATGGGTTTACTCACTATTCTATTAATGGCATTTACAAAACTAATTTTGCATCCATCTTTTTGGTCATCTGGCCAATTAATATAGTTATAATTGTATTCAGATGATCATGACAGTTTTTTAAAAACTATTTTTACTGTTAAACAAGCTTTGGGAATGTAAACTTGCTTTATTTTTTTTCAAAATCTCAGTGCCTAGAGAATTACCTTATAATAATGAAAACGAATTCAAAACCATTGTGCAACAGCAGAATGAAATGTGTCTTCTAAAACTACCCTGGTTCCTCCTCATGAAACACTATTGATTCTAGCCTAGATTTCAGCATTTGTGAGGTATCATTTTGGACATCATTTAAAGATGGCACTAATTAGTTACTAAATTTCAAAAGGCCCATAGTTAATGCAATCACAACCACTAATGAAAACAAAAACTATTATAGTAAATGGACTTGGTTTCATTCTTGAAAGCACCACTTTTCTGACAAATACAGTTCACTTGGTCAGTACATATGAGCCCAAATCTTAAGTGTAGATTCTATAAGCAATATCAACTCATTTTCAAATTAATTATGCTCTTGGCATTGTTCAGACCCATGTGTCTGCCCATATTATCATGTAAAAATTACTCTATGTTCTCATTCAAAAATGGAAAATACACAATTTCAAACATATTGCAACCCTATCTGAAAATTTCAAGGATGTTACTTTTTTTAAATTTAATTTTATTATGTTATGTTACTCACCATATAGTACATCATTAGTTTTTGATATAGTGTTCCATGATTCATTGTTTGCATATAACACCCAGTGCTCCATGCAATACCTGCCCTCCTTAATATCCATCACCAGGCTAACCCATCCCCCCATGCCCCTCCCCTCTAAAACCCTCAGTTTGTTTCTCAGAGTCCATAGTCTCTTATGGTGTGTCTCCACCTCCAATTTCTCCTCTTCATTTTCCCCTTCCTTCTCCTAATGTCCTCCATGCTATACCTTATATTCCACAAATAAATGATATATGATAACTGACTTTCTCTCCTTGACTTATTTCACTAAGCATAATCTCCTCCAGTCCCATCCATGTTAATGTAAATGTTGGGTATGCATCCTTTCTGACAGCTGAGTAATATTCTATTGTATAAATGGACCACATCTTCTTTATCCATTCATCTGTGGAAGGGCATCTGGGCTATTTCCACAGTTTCGCTATTGCGGACATGGCTGTTATGAACACTGGGGTGCATATGGCCCTTTTCACTACATCTGTCTTTGGGGTAAATACACAGTAGTGCAATTGCTGGGTTATAGGGTAGCTCTATTTTTTTTTGAGGAATCTCCACACTGTTTTCCAAAGTGGCTGTACCAACTTGCAATCCCACCAACAGTGTAAGAGGGTTCCCCTTTCTCCACAACCTAACATTTGATGTTTCTTGCCTTCTCAATCTTTGCCATTCTAACTGGTGTAAGGTAGTACCTCAGTGTGGTTTTGATTTGGATTTCCCTGATGGCTAATGATGATGAACATTTTTTCATGTGTCTGTTGGCCATTTGTATGTCTTCTTTGGAGAAGTGTCTGCTCATGTCTTCTGCCCATTTCTTGACTGCATTATTTGTTTTTTGAGTGTTGAATTTGAAAAGTTCTTTATAAATCTTGGATATCAGCCCTTTATCTGTAGTGTCATTTGCAAATATCCACTCCCATTCCGTGGATTGCCTCTTTGTTTTGTTGACTGTTTCCTTTGCTGTGCAGAAGCTTTTTATCTTGAAGTCCCAAAAGTTCATTTTTGTGTTTGTTTCCCTTGCCTTTGGAGATGTGTCTTGAAAGAAGTTGCTGTGGCCAATGTCAAAGAGGTTACTGCCTATGTTCTCCTCTAGGATTTTGATGAATTACTCTCTCACAATGAGGTCTCTCACCCATTTTGAGTTTATCTTTGTGTATGGTGTAAGAGAATGGTCCAGTTTCATTCTTCTGCATGTGGCTGTCCAATTTTCCCAGCACCATTTATTGAAGAGACTGTTTTTTTTTTTTTTTTTCATTAGATATGCCTTCCTGTTTTGTCGAAGACTAGTTGACCATAGAGTTGTGGGTCCATTTCTGGGGTCTCTATTCTGTTCCATTGATCTATGTGTCTGATTTTGTCCCAATACCATGCTGTCTTGATGATCACAGCTTTGTAATATAGTTTGAAGTCAGGCATTGTGATGCCGCCAACTTTAGTTTTCTTTTTCAACATTCCCCTGGCGATTCGGGGTCTTTTCTGGTTCCATTCAAATTTTAGGATTGTTTGTTCCAGCTCTGTGAAAAAAGTTGATGGTATTTTGATAGGGATTGCATTGAATGTGTAGATTGCTCTAGGGAGTATAGACATTGTCACAATGTTATTCTTCCAATCCATAAGCATGGAATGTTTTTCCACCTCTTTGTGTCTTCCTCAATTTCTTTCATAAATGTTCTGTAGTTTCTAGAGTATAGATCCTTTACCTCTTTGGTTAGGTTTATTCTGAGGTATCTTATGCTTTTTGGAGCTATTGTAAATGGAATCAATTACTTAATTTCTCTTTTACATTGTTAATGTATAGAAATGCAACTGATTTCTGTGCATTGATTTTTGTATCCTGCCATGTTGCTGAATTGCTGTATGAGTTCTAGTAATTTGGGGGTGGGGTCTTTTGGGTTTTCCACATAAAGTATCATGTCATCTGTGAAGAGAGAGTTTGATTTCTTCATTGCCAATTTGAATGCCTTTTATTTCTTTTCGTGTCTGATTGCTGAGGCTAGGAATTCTAGTACTATGTTGAACAATAGTGGTGACAGTGGGCATCCCTGTCACGTTCCTGACTATAAAGGAAAAGCTCTCAGTTTTTCCCCACAGAAAATGATATTCGCTGTGGGCTTTTCAGAGATGGTTATTATGAAATTGAGGTATGTTCCCTCTACCCCTATACTTTGAAAAGTTTTAATCAGAAAAGGATGCTGTGTTTTGTCAAATGCTTTTTCTGCATCAATTGAGAGGATCATGTGGTTCTTGTCTCTTCTTTTGTTACTGTGATCTATCAAGTAGATTGATTAGTGAATTGAACCACCCTTGCATCCCAGGAATAAATCCCACCTGGTCGTGGTGAATAATCCTTTTAATGTATTGTTGGATCCTATTGGCTAGGATCTTGTTGAGAATTTTGGCATCCATATTCATCAAGGATATTGGTCTATAATTCTCCTTTTTGGTGGGGTCTTTGGTTTTGGTATCAGGGTAATCCTGGCCGCACAGAAAGTGTTTGGAAGTTTTCCTTCTATTTCTAGTTTTTGAAACAGCCTCAGCAGAACAGGGATTATTTCTTCTTTAAATGTTTGGTAGAATTCCCCTGGGAAGCCATCTAGCCCTGGGCTCTTGTTTGTTGGGAGGTTTTTGATTACTGCTTCAATTTCCTTGCTGGTTATGGGTCTGTTCAGATGGCAAATTTCTTCCTGTTTCAGTCTTGGTAGTTTATAAGATTCCAGGAATGCATCCATTTCTTCCAGATTGCCTAATTTGCTGGCATATAGGTGCTGGTAATAAGTTCTAACAGTTGTCTCTAATTCTTTGGTATTGGTTGTGATTTATCCCCTTTCATTCATGATTTCATTAATTTGGATTCTTTCTCTTTTCTTTCAGATAAGTCTGGTTAGAGGTTTATCGATTGCATTAATTCAAAGAACCAGCTTCTAGTTTTGTTCTATGGTTCTTCTTGTTTCTATTTCATTGATCTCTGCTCTAAACTTTATTGTTTCTCTTCTCCTACTGGGTTTAGGTTTTATTTGCTGTTTTCTCTGGGTCCTTTAGGTGTAAGGTTAGCTTGTGATTTGGGATTTTTCTAATTTTTTGAGAGAGGCTTGGATGGCTATGTACTACCCTCTTAGGACTGCCTTTGCAGTATCCTATAGGTTTTGAAGCAATGTATTTTCATTGTCATTGGTTTTAATGAATTGTTTAAGTTCTTCAATTTCCGGATTGACCCATTCATCCTTTAGCCGGATTCTCTTTAACCTCCAAGTGTTTGACTTCCTTCCAAATTTCTTCTTGTGATTGAATTCCAATTTCAAAGCATTGTCATCTGAAAACATGCAGGGAATAATCTCAATCTTTTGGTATTGGTTGAGACCTGATTTGTGACCCAGTATGTGATCTATTCTGGAGAAAGTTCCATGTGCACTCCAGAAGAAAGAGTGTTCTGTTGTTTTAGGATGGAATGTTCTCTACATATTTACGAAGTCCATCTGGTCCAATGTGTCATTCAAAGTCTTGTTTCTTTGTTGATCCTCTGCTTAATCTGTCCATTGCTATGAGTGGAGTGTTGAGGTCTCCTACTATTAATATATTATTATGTTTCTTTATTTTGGTTATTAATTGGTTTATATAATTGGCTGCTCCCATGTTGGGGGCATAGATATTTACAATTGTTGTATCTTCTTGTTGGATAGACCCTTTAAGTATGA